TGTGGGCCGTGGTGAACAACGCCGGGATCGCCTTCCCCACGGCACCCAATGACTGGCTGGAGATTGAGGATTTCACACCCATGATTAATGTCAATCTGATCGGGGTCATCGCCGTTACTCTGAGTGTTTTACCACTCATTAAGAAAGCCAAGGGTCGAGTGGTGAACGTGGCCAGCGTTTTCGGCAGGATCAGTACTCTTGGAGGAGCTTACTGCATTACAAAGTATGGAGTCGAGGCTTTTAATGATGCTCTCAGGTCAGTATCAGAGTATTTATTCATTTTCCTTTGGTTTATTGTATTATTTATCAGTGGTCGCCACAGCGGAATGAACTGCCAACTATTCTGGTGGCAGATGTTTTACTCAAAGGATGCCTTTAAAGAGCCCATATTATACATGAAATAGGGTCATATCTTGGTTCTAAGGGTCTCCAACAACAGTCTAATATGCATGCAAGGTCAAAAAACACTTTCATGGTCTTATAATCTGCATTTATTTTTACCTAATTATCCCAGCAACTCCCGTATGAATCGTCCAGTGATTCATTTGTTCCCAAACCCCTCCTTAGCGCGAAGCTAATCTGCGCTGATTGGACCGATGACAGTCTGTCGTGATTGGTCGACTGCCTTCAATCAGAGAGTGAAATGCCCAATAGCTAATCAGCAATATAAAAGTAATCACAGTTCATACACACTTGATAGTGTAGGCGTGGATTTTAGCTGCCACACACACACAAAAACACACACACACCTCCGGACGACAACGCTCCCGCTTCCGCCCGCACACGCCAGGTTTTAGCCTGAACCCGACCGCTCCCGCTTATATTAAGAAATTGTTGTCCCGGTGCCCAACCCGCCTCGTTTTCTGCCCGCCGCGCCCGATCCCGCTAAAGAGCGGGGGAGAACAAAACCAAAAATCACCCAGCTATACAGTCCAGACAGCCAAGCTGTCTGTATAAACACACACACAAGCACCAAGCACACACACACAGACAAAGCTCGCTCTCTCTCTCTCTCTCTCTCATACGCGCGCACGCGCGCTAACACGCACTAACACGCACTAACACGCACTAACACACACACACACACACACACACACACACACACACACACACACACACACACACAAGCACCAAGCAGACACACAAGCACCAAGCAGACACACAAGCAAAGCTCTCTCTCTTTCTCATTCGCATAGCAATATCCGTGATATTGCTAGACAGCCCGCTCCCGTCCCGTTACCGACCGCTCCCGCGATTTATTCGGAAATTTATTCCCGCGCCGCAGACATCTGCCGCGGGAATGCAGACCTCTACCACGGAGCTCTGTAAACAAAGCAGCAGGCGTCCCGTTTTTAACGTGACTTTGCACGCGATAAGAGAATATAGCCAGTTAACCTGATACAGTACACGCGGTTACAAGTAACAAATCACAACTAAATACATTTGCAAGCTAGAGTCAACGAGGCAACAACTTTAATCGCACGTATTTACACGCACGTAGAAATGGAGGAAGAAACCCATCCTGACGTCCATCAGTAAGTTAACTTACTCTTTACTGATCCTTCCTTTAACAAACGCTGATGAAGTATTCTTTGTAGCATGTGTTTCCAGTAGTTTCAGTAGTTTCCAACTGCTTGGTTATAATGCTGAGGTTTCATCTTTGGGTAGACCCTCAATAATATCCATCTGCAGTGTGACTTCAATCGACCGGCATGTTTGTGTGTGTGTCTGGGTTTCTGCGTCAGAGGGCGGGGCCTCAGGTTTGAAATCTCCCGGGTTTGCGCGTGCACGTGAATAACTTGGTTTTGTTCGTACGTCATGGCGAAACACCTAATGACTCGGTATCAAGGCGACTCGTTTGAAGCACTATGAGTCGACTCCTTTATAGATGAATCAACCATTTTAAACACTGTACTCTTACAGATTTAAGCCTTAGCTGGATACTTCACTTCGAGCTGTGTTACACACTACATGGAGGGGAATTTTCAAAAACCCATAATATGGGCTCTTTAAGCCATAACCCAGTACTGGGAAACACCCATGCACACTCATTCTTACACTACAGCCCATTAGTTTTATTTAATTCACCAATAGCACATGTCTTTGGACTGTGGGGGAGCAGACTATAAGCTGTCCAAAATCCGGCCAAACGCGCACAAAAAATGCCCAAAATTTTAAATGTATATTTTAATTTAGTTTTATTTATTTAAAACAAAATTAACCTAGTATGTAACATATTTCTTTACTATACAGCAACCAACACCAGCAGTCACAGAACCACAAGATCACATTGAAACGCAGCCCCCTCTCACCCACACACTGCACTTAATGTTGGGTAGACTACACTACCTATGTATGCATGTTTGACTTTAGAAATTCGTTTTAAAATCTTTTAAACATAATTAGCTGCTACTTGTCAAGCAGACAAGGCTTCTATGTTTGTTCTTGCAGTCAATTGGGGACAAAAATGATAGATAAAAGTGTAATGATAAACTGCTGTGAGTTTAACTGTAGCCGATGCTTGATGCGCGTACAGTTTATGCGAAGAGGAGTCAGATTTGTCCAGGGAGTCAAATTTTGACCCTGTTTACACTGTCAGGTCTTGATGCCCAAATCCAATTTGTTGCCTATATCTGATTTTTTTGCCTGTCCGTTTACACATTCTTTTAATTGTGACCCATATCCAATTCATGTGTTTACACTTGCCATACAATTTAAGACATCTCGCCTTCGTTAAAGCAGGTTCTTGCATCTGCGCCACACTTGCCACGATGACAAAAATTGTCTTGCTTTTAGCTCTGTGAAATATGCGAAGTTCAACTTTAAAAGGATTTTCAGGCAGAGGAGGATGGAAAAGGCTTTCATCACCGCTTGCCCCTATGGTTAATATATGGTGTATCCTCAACCATTCAGAGGAATTTGTGGGTACGAAAGAGATCTCAGGTCTGGTGGGAGCAAATTGTGGCGACTGGCCACTTTCCTCCTCCATGTTTCTTCTTTTGTTGTTGTTTACTGAGTCTGCGACTCCACACATGCTCTCTCCTCTACGTCATTAAACCACAGATAAGTACCGTACCACATTGTCGCAAGTTTAATGGCGCACAAAAGGGAATGCCTTAAATCCGATCTGCCTGTTTACATGACAGTCGCATCTCACATATCTGATGTATATCTGATTTATTTCCTCATATGAAGGAGGACGGAAACCCATCTCTGAAAATCCGAATGCATGGGTCATAGAACAGATACGATCCGGCTCACATATGAGCAAAAAAAATAATAAAAAAATCGGAATTGGGTCATATTCAACTGCCCGTGAAAATGGAGCTTTCCTTCACCTCCTCTTGGGGCTGAACCCACGCTGTTTTGGCTATGCACTGGTCTCTACTAACTGAATGGAGCAGGAGCACAAAATTATATTTTGTTAATTAAATTAAATTATGTTTCAAATCCCTCCCAGATTTTATGAACCCACCCATGGCATTTTTACCCCCACAATCAAATTAAAAACTGCCCAATCTGGCAACACTGCTGGCCCAGCCACGACTCCAACCAGCGACCCTCTTGCTGTGAGGCGACAGTGCCAACCACTGAGCCACCGTGCACAATAATCACAATAATAATCATTCCAAAGCATATCCTAATTGAAAGTTTATAAATAAAAATCTAAAATATAAAAGTTTTTAAATTTAAATGACAAATTCTGTAATTTATAGATATTTTTCTTCTCCCAACTTAATTATTTTTTTTTTATTTCCTTCCCTTCCTCTTTCTTTATACAGTGTATGTTTGTAGCTACAGTGCTTAACATATTTAAGTACACCCTTCACAAAGCTCTCATTTAACTTCATATTTACTTTAGGAAGCTTTACAATATTATATTTGTGCATACACATTAGATTAAGTGATGTCTATGATAAACTCGCTTAAAATGAGTTTTTCCTTAAAACAAGCTCAATAATCTGTCAATGGGGTAAGCAAAATAATCCTTTATCAAAAGGCAAAACAAGATTATTTTACGAAAACCATTGGCAGATTGTTTTGCTTGTTTAAAGAAAAAAGACTCACTCAATTTTGGCATAATATTTCTTAAAATAAGATATGTTTTGCTCATCCAGAAAATTCTTCTTCATTTAAGACTTTTTAGATACTTGGACTACAAAGAAGACAAAAAAAAGCTTAGTAAGAAAGTCATTTAGCAGTGTTGTGGTTTCAAATAAGTTAAATATGTGAACAATTCTGAGACAAAACATAATGTGTGCACATCATGGGCTTCACAGGGGTCACGTGATCTTGAATGAGGTCCTTCAACTAATTCAAGTTTTCTGTAGATCTGCAATTCTGCCTGATTTAAAATGAGTACATAGTGTCACACCAGAGGACATGGTTTTCACTAACAAATGTTATGTTTTTAGAAATATATGGATGAAAAAATTTGTCATTTACTAAAATAGCCACTTGTCAAATTATGCCTAAATAATTTATTTAATGATTTTCCCTTCCCTTCCTCTTGCTTTATTGGGTGTGAGTATGTTTGTAGCTACAGTGCTCAACATATATGAGCACGCACCTCACAAACCTCTCATTTAAATGGATATTTCCTATAGAAAGCTTTACAAAATTATATTTGTGCATACACATTAAATTAAGTGTGATAAACTTACTTAAAAATAAGTGTGTTTTTCCTTGAAACAAGCTAAATAATATGCCAATGGCGTAAGCAAAATAATATTATGTCAACAGAAAACCCAAATTTTGCTTACCCCATTGGCAGATTATTTCTTAAAATAAGACATGTTTTGCTTGTCCAGAAAATGCTCCTTGATTTAAGAATTTTAGATACTTGGACTAGAAAGATGACAATAAAATCTAAGAAAGTCATTTAGCAGTGTTGTGGTTTCCAATAAGTTAAATATGTGAACAATTCTGAGACAAAACATACCGTGTGCACATCATGAGCTTCACAGGGGTCACATATGATCTTAAATGGGGTCCTTCAACTAATACAAGTCTTCTGTGGATCTGCCTGTTTTAAAATGAGTACATGTTGTCACACCAGAGGACATGGTTTTCACTAACAAATGTAATGACAAGAACATTTGTTCTTGTCAAATTATGCCTAAAGTATTTATTTAAGAATTTTTTTATTTTTTTATTTATAAGAGCTATAATTTATTAAACAATGCTTGAGACGGTCACCCCATGGATCAGTTTTGTGATTTGGCTCAAACACAGCAGTTTTAATAAGAAAAGCTTAATCATTTACGGCATTTTTAATTATGATGATAATAGTATTACATTAATTTTTGTCATGTGTGAGTGAATATGCGTCAACAAACCATGTGGAGAAAACACTCATTCATTGATTTTCCTTTGGATTTTCCTTTCTTTATTTATTAGGTGTCGCCACAGCGGAATGAACTGACAACTTATCCAGCATATGTTTGATGCAGCGAATGCCCTTCCAGCTGCAACCCAGCACTGGGAAATACCCACACACACTCAAACACTACGGCCAATTTAGTTTATTCAATTCACCTATAGCACATGTCTTTGGACTGTGGGGGAAACCGGAGCACCCAGAGGCTCAGTGGTTAGCACTGTTGCCTCACAACAAGAAGGTCGCTGTTTCGAGTCACGGCTGGGCTACAGTAGTTGGCATTTCTGTGTGAAGTTTGCATGTTCTCCCTGTGTTTGCAAGGGTTTCCTCCACAGCCTAAAAACATGCGCTGTAGGTGAATTAAATAGACTGAATTGGCCGTAGTGTATGAGTGTGAGTGCAAATGCGAGAGTGTAAGGCTGTTTCCCAGTACTGGGTTGCAGCTGAAAGGGTGTCCGCTGTGTAAAACATATGCCGGAATAGTTGGCAGTTCATTCCGCTGTGGCAACCTCTGATAAATAAGAGACTAAGCCGAAGAAAAACGAATGAATGAAGTTTAACTTACAGTTTACATTTCTTTTTTTAGTGTCCAGTTATTTCCGCTTGTGTGTGTGTGTATTGATGAGTGTGTGTTTGTCTTCCAGGAGGCAAATGGCACCGTTTGGAGTGAAGGTTTTGTGCATTGAGCCTGGATTCTTCAAGACCATCGTCACTGACTTCAATATCGTGGAGAGTACTTTGCACAGATTATGGAATAAACTGCCTCAGGAGGTCAAGGATGAGTACGGCAGCGACTACGTTGACAAGAGTGAGCCCAAACTGGCTTCAAATCAGAGCAATTAATTACACACATCCATAGCCACTACATTTATTAATACAATAATACAATTATTAATGGAGTCATTACACAGATTTTTGGTATTTTAAAGCAAAACATTTTAGGCATAAACCTTTTTTTTTTTTTTTTTGGAGATTTGGGGCTTTTCCTAAACTGTTTTTTTCAAATATAAAGAAAACTAGTGTTACTTTTGTCACACTTTATCAATTTATGCATGTAGATTTCCTTTAGAATACAAATTTATAACTCAAAATGTGCTTTAGAGTGGCTTAAAACACCAAACCTCACAGTTACTGTATCTTGAAGGCTTTTACTGAGGTATTAATTCATATATAATTTGCCTGATTATTCTACAGAAAAAAGGTTAAAATGTATTTTGTTTCAATCTGTTTGCAGTATTTACTGAATCATGGAGTGAAAAAAGGATGACCAAATCCTCCCTTTTTAATATGTCCAAAAAAAATGAATATTAATTTTAAATAATAGGTAAATGTACACTACATATTGCCAAAAGTTCTGGGACTTCTGCCTTTATATGCGCATGAACTTTAATGGCATACATTCCATTCCTAATCTGTAAGATTTTATATGGCACTGACTAATCTTTTGCAGCTATAACAGCTTCAGTTCTTCTGGAAAGGCTTTCCATAAGGTTTAAGAGTGTGTTTGTAGAAATTTGAACCACTCTTCTGGAAGCACATTTGAGAAGCACCACAAAACCATGTTATATTTGTTGTTTTAGTTTTGACAATAGCAAAAAATACATTGCATGAGTCAAAATTATTGATTTTTTTGTTACAATTCTAGATTTTATGATAGTTTTATTTTAAATATTGTCCTATCCTATATTTTATTTACCAAAATTTACACTACACTCTCAGAAGTAAAGATATGCGAGCTGTCACTGGGGTGGTACCTTTTCAAAAGCTGCACATTTCTACTCCTTATTGGTCCATATTGGTACCTCAAAAGTATATATTAGTACCTAAACATTTTAAGAGGAACACTTTTGTACTTTTTAGGTACTAATGTGTACCCTTGAGGAATTTATATGAACCTTTTAGGTACAAATTAATACCTTTTGAAAAGGTACCACCCCAAGGACAGCTCGCATACCTTTATTTCTGAGAATGTAGACTGGTTTTGTGGTCCAGGATCACATTTATGAATTCAGGCAACAAAGAAGAGAAGGCTTTGCTTGCAGTCACTGCTTTAATTCATCCTAAAGGTGTTCAGTCAGGTTGAAATCAAGACTTTGTGCAGGCCAGTCAAGTTCCTCCACTCCAGTCTCACTCGTACAAGTCTTCATAGACCTCGCTTTGTGCACTGACATGCAGTCTTGTTGGAATAGGAGGAGGTTCTCCTCAAACTAATAAGAAGGATATAAATCGAGGTTGGAGTCAGATCCAAATGGGCAGGTTAGCTCCAAGTGGGTGAGACTTGAGCTGCAAATGGGATGACAAAAATCTCCTGCAGTTTTTATTGATGTATTTATTGTATCCTACATGACATGAGTCCAAACTATTGTGTTTTATTAACATCTACACCTTCCACATCCCTAAACCCAATCTCACAGTTAACTGTTTGTTTTATTAACATCTACACCTACCACAACCCTAAACCCTAAGTCCCTACCACTTGGTGTTTACCCAATCTACTTGCAGCATAACTTCCTCTCTGAGCTGTGGCAATACTTGCTTAAATCTATTTAGACAAAGTCGGAAGTTTAAGGTCCACCCAGTTGGCCCAGTGAAGGTGTCTACTGGTGGATGTAGGTTCCCTGTGTGTTAGAATATTAGTATATTTATCTTTTGCTCCAAGTGTGAAAGCACTGAAAGATTATGCCTATTTCTATGACCATTGTACCAGTCGCACTGAGACATTTCAAATGATATCAAACATGACAGAACATTAGTACTTTGAGATTACTTTTGTCTTTGTACTTTGAGTTGGGTAAAGAAGAGTGTGGGAGAGACTAAAGGCTGATTTATACTTTTGGGTCAATCGCACTCGTATGCTACGGCGCAGCCTACGCAATAGCCGCGTTTCCACTCTCGCGCCTAAAGCGAGCGAGCCAGGGCGAGCCAAAGCCAGTGGCGTTTCCACTGTCACTTCCGGGGCCTAATCGGGCCAAAGCGGGGCTTTCTTGGGGCCAGCGGCCGGCCTTTTTCGGCCCGCCGAATACCTTGGGCCAAAGAGGGCCAGCCGGGGCTTCGGGGCGGAGTGAAAGGAGAGGCGGGCACAGTTTTCCGATCGCACACGAGTACATGCGCCAAACACATAACAAATAAATAAATAAGAGAAAGAAAACACCTGGAACAAATTATAGGCTGGGGTCTTTTTTGCATATGATCGCCCTTATGTTTCTCTTTTAAATGTAAGGTTGTTGCATAAAATTATCACTTTTCTTTGCAGCATCTCTTTGATGTTTCAATAACGCATACTAATCTTTACACCATATTAAAGACACAGCAGACAGTAAAGGATTTCAAGAGGTTTTGTCAAGTTTAGTGTTTTTGCGCGTTCAGATGCCTGTGCGTGTGTGAGACCGAGGAAAAGAGCGCTTTATTCATAGCTCTGTTGATGCCGCGAGCGGCTGTTTTCTTTTCACCCATGAAGAAGGTAAGAGTGAAACAACGTTGTGATTTCAACGGTGAATCACCGGTGGTGGTCCGACGGTGAAACAACGTCACTATATAAACGTTGATCCAATTTGCAAAATCGAAAGGTAATTCAACGTTGATCCAACCATAGACCTGACGTTGATTCAACGTTGAATCACCATTGAAATGCCGGCTGGGTTTTTATTGTTTTAATTTATTTTGGAGATAATACACTATATGAATACAACAGAAAGACATTGAACTTTACAAATTTCATGTCCGCTTTTGTAGGCTCAAAACAATAGTGTCATATCTAGATAAAATAGCTAAGCTATATTTAAATAATTTAAAGAATAACAAATATCAGATAGGCCTATAATAAAATCACATTAAATAAATAAACCAATATAAAACTAACAAAAGCTATAGCTATAACAATTAGGTACTAAATCAAACTGTTTAAAATTTATATTAAACTTTCATTTTTCAAAAGCCTCTTTGAAAATGTTTTTTTATTTAAATAAATAAATAAATAAACACCGGAAAATGTTTTAAATATTATTTATAAAGTATTTGGATACGATGATATTAATCAAATCATGCAAACAGAGCATTTTCGGGGTGAGTGAACGCAGAAACTAGGCGACCTTTTTTTTCTGTCTTCCAGCTGCGCAGCACTTTTTTGACGTGGAAAACTGCAAGTTCAAAATGTGTTCTGTGTCCTCAAACAAGTGTGTATGTTTTTATATAACGTGGTAAAATTAAAAAAGGAAATTTAAAATACATAAAGAGCTTTATTAGTGCATTGCTGCTCAGCGCAACGAAATATAGGCTATATTTTATTACGTACTGCTCTTATGTGCTGAAACACTGAACACTTTCCTTTACTTTAGATATAATAAGCAACATCTTTAAATAAAGGGAATCACCTATTAAGTGTCGTAAAGCCTATAGGGAAAAATAATCATGTTTCAGTTCTCTCCGGAGCATTTGGGATGAATGTTGGACAGCGTCTGTCTAGAGGATGTTACAAAATACATTTTATATCAAGTTATTAACGGAGAATTTTATAAATGTGGTGTTATATTATGAATGTGTGCGCTCCCTGTGCTAGGTCCCTCTGTTGGTGGCAAGACCACTGGATTGCGATGCCAGTCGGTCGGCGAGTAAATGAATATGATGAATGAAAACACACAGGCATGTGCATATAGACATGCGTTGTACTGCTGTACAGTAACGTGTCATTTGTTTGTTTTGGTTGTCCTATTTTAATAGTTTCGTGATGATGTGCTTTATCTGCATGATTCTCGCTGAAGTGGGCGGTTTGAGTGACCTTCGATTTGGAGGATGTTCTGGGGGCGGGGTTTGCTGACGCGCTGCAAGCTACTAGCCCCACAGTGGAAACGCGACATGATTTCGGCCTCACTGCTCGACCTCCCAGGCGATTGGCCCGGCCTGGCCCGATATAAGCCCTGGCTCGCACTGGCCTGATAGTGGAAATGCAGCTAATGATGCATAGCCCTATGCCGTGCCCGTCGGCGTTGCTGATGCCACCTCTCAAAAAATGTAACTAAACGTCGCAATGACACATAGTGCAAGCTCTGTGATTAGTCGGCTTGGTAGCACAGACGAGTCCGGGCGGATGGAGCGATTGTTTACAAGTGTGGAGTCCCATGAAGAAGCTCCAGGATGGAAAGTTTTGTTTTGTGTTTACCTCATGGTTGAAGTTGTTGCACGTCTGCCGGTTCCTGCCTCAAAATGAGCGAGTTTGAGCCACTTGTACATTAAGGAAGCGTTCAGGAAAAACAAAACACCAGCGAAGAAACTTGACACAGAGAAACATAAACACCTCACTGCCAACTAGTGTTTCGAAAGTATTATTGCAGAACAACAGAAACAGCGCGCCCAAGTATAAATGCACAGCTACGCGCGTTGTATGCACCGTGGGTCACGCCCAGGCCCGGATTGGCTAATCGGGAGGACCGGGGGAATTCCCGGTGGGCCGGTCCGTTTTTTGGCCGCGAGGGCCGGTGTCCCTAGTTCCAGAATCGGTTGCTCTCAGCAGTCACACTTTTTAAAAATAATTTATTTATTTACTTGACCACAGCCTTCTTATTCATTATTTTACCGCAGCTCTGCTCTTTTTAACCAGATAAGTCGCCATTCAACGTGCAGCCGTTGTGGTACAGTGGTTAGTACGGTAGATCAGTGGTTCTCAAACTGTGGTACGTGTACCACTAGTGGTACGCAGGATCCTTCTAGTGGTACGCGGAGGAATGAAATATGTCATGTACATGCTACACACATTTCAAAATTTATCAAAAATTATGTATATAATATGCCACATATGACATATAGCCTATGTTTCTGAGATACTCTGCCACGTTTTTTAACTGTGCAGAGTTGTAGCTCCTTTACTGGGCCTACCACGCTACTGTATTTCAATACTGCTCATTTTGGTGGTACTTGGACAGACCATTTTTTTTCTAAAGTGGTACTTGATGAAAAAAGTTTGAGAACCACTGCGTTAGATTATGACGCGGCCAACCTGGGTTCGGTCCTCGTCTGAAAAACATTTTTTTTTTTTTTTTCATTTTTATTAAGAAATATAATACTGTTAGGGTTGTTGAACATTTGAAGTTCTAAAAGTGCTGTTTTCTCAAAAAAAGACGTGATGGTGTAATTAGAAACTGAATTGGAAATAACCTTATTTTAATATAGTCAGTGGTGAACTGAGGTGGGCCGGTCTGAGGCTTGAAACTCCAGGGCTGAAAAAGAGTCCCACTCCGGCCCTGGTCACGCCGATCACTTGACGCAGAAATATAATCAAGGCTTAATGTGAATGAAGGAATGAGGGAGATTGTTTCTAAAGCCATGACTTCATTAACAAAGGCATCGTCACTCCAAACACAGAAGCAGACTTTGATTGAAACTTTTTTTTTTCCCAGTGGATTAACTTGCCTGGATTAATTATTCACCTAAAGTATAACAATGTGTGCTAGCAAAATAAATAGTGTAATCTTGGGTTTCACACAATGTTAAAAAGTTAACCTGTTCTGTTGATTTTCCTCTGCAGCAAAGCTGACGGCCAAGGAATTGTTGGAGAAGCTGGCGGACGGGGATCTGATGAAGGTGGTGAGCTGTATGGAGCATGCAGTGGCTGCTGTTCATCCTCGGACACGATATTCTCCGGGCTGGGATGCCAAGTTCTTCTGGCTGCCTCTGTCCTACATGCCAACCTTCATCTCAGATGCTTTACTCCTGAAAAAGGCTGTTCAACCAAAAGCTTCTATTCTGTGAGCCTAAGTGTTGTTTTAGGATGCACACTTGAAGAAAAAGTCTTTATTGCACATTTGTACAATATTGGGAATGAATAAAATACATTTTTAAAGGTGCTCTGGAACATTTCTTGGGAGTTTTCAATGTCAAACTCTAGATTTTATTTTAAAGAGTCCCTATTGTGCATTATAAAAGGTCACGTTTTGGTTTTGAGGGTCTCCAACAACAGGCTGATATGCATGCAAAGTCAAAAAACGCTTTCATTGTCTTATACTCTGCATTCATTTTTACCTAATTATCCCAATAACTTCCATCCCAGTTAGCATTCGAATGTGGGCCTGAAGTGGCCCACCTGTACAATGGCAAAGAAAGACCAAAGATTCAAATTCATACATAGGGCATTTAAGGCAAAGATTTGCATTTGCGAAATGTAATCTGAAGGTAAGCCTAATGTGACCCATGTGGAAAATTATAAATTTGTCCCAAATGATGGAGGACATATGTGAGCCACAGTTGGAAAAAATGTGGCATAAGAGTAATCTGGGTCTAAATCTAAAAAGGCGCACATATGTATGTGAAAATGTGGCCCAATTATCTTAAGACATGTGGGCCACTTTTGGCAAATATTTGGCACAGTAAGCTCTGGCTATTGCACTTGTGAGCCTAATGTGGCCCAGAGAAAATATGGCAACTGTGACCCCAGTTGTTTTAAAACATATGTGAGCCACTTTTGGCAAATATTTGGCACAGTAAGCTATGGCTAATGTGCATTTGAGCCTATAGTGACTCAGAGAAGATATGGCAAATGTGGCCCAGTTATCATAAAACATATGTGGGCCACCTTTGGCAAATATTTGGCACAGTAAGCTCTGGCTAATGTGGCTGTGAGCCTAAAGCGACCCTGAAAAGATATGGCAAATGTGGCCCAGTTATCTTAAAGCATATGTGGACCACATAGACTAATGTCACCATCATGGAGAAAAATATTTGCTTTAGTTAGGCTCATAGCCCTGCACCTCTTTTTTTTTATCTTTTTTTTTTTAATTTGGGGGGGCCTAACTTTCAAGTTCTTAACTTTTAAGAACTTGAAAAGTGTAACAAACAAGCCAAGTAAAAAAATAAATAAAATAAAACTAAGTGAGGCACAACCTGTGATGAAATAAAATAATTCACTGATCTTAACCAATATATAACCCATTATTAGAAGTAACATGATAACATGCTCGCACATGCCACAGAATTATGAAGGTTTAAGCTTAAAAAAATTCTATGGTTCAACTTCTGCTCACAGAGACATCAATAATCAGCGTATGAATCTCAACAACAATGACAATTAATAAAATGAACAAAACTCACAAACACCACAAACAGGATACTAAAAGTGACTAAATCAACATCGTCAACATAAACAGCAGAATCAAAGCAAATAATGAAAACTGGAGCATCAATAAGCTATGGAATATATTCAATGTATTCATATGTTTGTACTTTGCCACACCCAGAAGATGCAGGCCAGATCTGGGCCAGAATAAAAGCAAATTGTGGCCCAGAATAGGGTCAGTTCTGGTTCATTTGGTTGAATTCTGGCTAATATGTGGTATTGCTTTGGCTTATTTGTGGCCCAGATCTGACAAACAGGAGCGGACCGCCCTAGAGCCATCATTCCATTCAGTATGTGGTCCAGATGTAAGTGTCTGGTGTGGGCCGGGTCTTGGCCAGAATAAAAGCTAACCGTAGCTCAGAATAGGGTCAGTTCTGGTTCATTTGGTTGAATTCTGGCTGATATGTGATATTACTATGGATTAATCGTGGCCCAGATCTGGCAAACAGGAGCGGACTGCCCAATTGCCATCATTCCATGGGGTATGTGGGCCGGATGTAAATGTCTGGTGTGGGCCGGATTTGAGCCACATGAATTTTGCTAGCTGGAATATAAATTGTTAAGAGATTAATTTGTTCTCAAAGATCTCCTTTGTGTGTGGCTAAACTACTGTGATTGGTCCAATGACCCAGTCTGTTGTGATTGATCGACTGGGTTCAGCACGAGACAGAGAAATGTCCACCATGGCTATGTAGTAGCAGAGAGTGTGTGTGAGCCCAATGCAGAAATGCAATAAAGCAATGCAGTTAAACACCAACATACCGTATTACTCTACTCTTAACCCTTACTCTAAGTAATAACAATGACACAAATTCAGTATTAATCCACACAGTGGCAAAAGGTGAACTATTCTGAAAATTAACCTCCCCGCGCGTGAGGAACAGCTAATGGTGGCCATAGCAAAGGCAAACGGCAGAGTATCGTTAATTCAGAAACGCATTAAATCATTAAAGGAAGAAGCACGGGACACAGTTTTAATGTGGTTTTGGCCGCAGTGTGTGAACGGCCCCATACAGATTTAACCTGAGAGATACAGTACAAGCACTGACCTATAATAGATATGTGACTACAAGTTGTGTATCTCAATTACAACCTACAACACACAATAAATACATATTTGCAAACTACACAAAACAAGGCAACAATTTTAAATCACACTTACATGTTATGATCCGGAGGAAGAAGGAACTGGTCCATATGAACTGTAACAGTTACTGACAAAGTCTCTAGGTGTGTCCCAAATCGCATACTTATGCACTATTCTACTCCATTTTGTAGTATAAAACGTTTAGGTAGTGCGTTTACACTGAAAACTCTAAAAATAATGAGTGCACTTTAATTACCTGGATGATGCACTAGTAAAATGAAGTGTGTAATGATGGACACTTCACGCACTCATTGACCGCAGGTTGGCTCACATAGCGAAAGGGGCGGAGCTATTGGACGCACATGTTGGATAACTTTGGCTGTTTCTCAATTCCAAGAACGCAGAGAACGGACTTTTGATCTTGTGAAGACCGGTCTTGCCATGTGTCCTCGGAAGAACGAACTCAGGCGACCGCGAGGGCAGAGAACGCGTCCTTTGAGAATTGAGATGCTGCGTTCTTCCTGATGGTCACATGACCTTCACATTTTTTAAATGGTAAATTATTTAAACATTACAGCATTTATACAACGATTTATAGTTTTTCCCCTTTTCAAAATATATTTTGCATAAAAAACATTATAAATCTTTGTTGCACAATATGAATAAAACAGATTTTAATACGAATTTCAGCAAACAAACACCCTTAATGTGTTTATTCCTTTATTAAGATGTCCAATGTTTACTTTAACCGTTTCATTTAGGGAAACTCCTGAGGTAAATGAGTTACATCTCTGAACTTTAATAATAAATCTAAATAAAATGCAGCGCTTCCCACCTCCAGTCGCAATGACTTCTGGGACTTCCAGAGCGAGTTCGGTGCTCAAGTCTGCATCGTTGTGTCCTCGATATCAAGATCACATCAGGGAAGTTTCACGCATCCTCCGTACTTGCGATCTTGAGTATTGGAACTGAACTTGGGCAGCTGATGATGACATTGCACGAGAACACGAGGACGCAAGACCGCTGAAGAACGCATATTTAGAAACAGCCTTTATTTAATTTGGATTGAGAAAGCAAAATTTTCCTACGAGAGTAACTATAGCGCCTCCCGATGGTGAATGCGGTTATACTCATGGCAGGTTTTGTTTGGTAGTTTGGTAATTTATTTCACTAATTTGGCAACAGTCACACATCATCAGGGAAACAGGTTTGAATTTCCGCTTAGTAAAAAAACATTAGTGCTCCATTTGGGACAACACTATTTACATGTACTATGCTGTTGAGTGTGTAAGTGCATAAGTACATAGTGCATGAGTGCATAGTATACAGCACGAAACTTGTTCCTGGAGGTCTGGTGTCCTTAAGATTTTAGCTCCAACCCTATTCAAACACCTGAACAAGCTAATCAAGGTCTTACTGGGTATACTCGAAACACCCTGGCAGGTGTGTTGAGGCAAGTTGAAGCTCACACCTCCAGGAACGAGATTGGTGACCCCTGGTATACAGAGTGCCATTTGGAACGCAGCTTCTGTCAAAGTCTGATAAAGTCCCAAACATAATAGTATCTGCTGCTCCTTCCTTTAATAGCAACAGCTGGTGAATCCTGCGCTGCAGAGTAGGTTATTTTATCAATCATCAGAAAAACGTCAGGAACAAACACAGCACTAGGTTGTGAAAAAAAAAAAAAAATGAATGAATGAAATTGGCCGTAGTGTATGTGTGTGAATGCCAGAGTGTATGGGTGTTTCCCAGTGTTGGGTTGCAGCTGGAAGGGCATCCGCTGGAAAAAAACATGCTGGACAGGTAGGTGGTTCATTCTGCTGTGGTGACCCCTGATAAATAAAGGGACTAGGCTGAAGGAAAATGAATGAATGAAGTGATATTGAATAATAATAATATTCATTTTCTTTTCAGCTTAGTCCTTTTATTAATCAGAGGTCGCCACCGCGGAATGAACCGCCAACTAATCCAGCATATGTTTTACGCAGCAGATGTCCTTCCAGCTGCAACCCAGTACTGGGAAACACCCATACACACTCATTCACACACATATAATATAGCCAATTTAGTTTATTCAATTCACCTATAGCACATGTCTTTGGACTGTGGGGGAAACCGGATCACCCGAAGGAAACCCACTTCAACACAGGGAGAACATGCAAACTCCACACAGAAATGCCAGCTGACCCATCCGGGACTCGAAGCAGCAACCTTCTCCCTTTGAGGTGATTGTGCTTACCACTGCACCACCGTGCTGCCTGAACCACCAACTTATCCAGCATATTTTTTAGGCAGCGGATGCCCTTCCAGCTGCAACCAATGACTGGGAAACACCATACACACTCTCATTCACATACATACACTACAGACAGTTTATCTTACTCCTTTATTCATCAGAGGTCGCCACAGCGCAATGAACCGCCAACTATTCCAGCATTTCTTTTACACAGCGGATGCCCTTTCTGTCACAACCCAGCACTAGGGAATAAAAAATATCATACATTTTCAAAATAAATTACAATTTACTTGGAAAATTCATCATTGGTAAATGATTGCATTTTATGAATCATACAGTACTTGATTTCGGGGTATAAAGGTTTATTTTTGCTGAGCCCATAGAGAGAAGTTTTTCTTGTTTTAAGCAAAAAGCTTACTTTGTTTTGACCAAAATAATCTAATTTTCAAGTCAAGCAAACAGATTTATACTAGACAAAAACACAGCAGAACAACACCATTACAGCTACAGTAACTCACGACAGTCTAAAGGTTTGTCAGCTGAAGGCCGACAATAAACATAGTTCATTACACAAGTGCAGTGACGTTTATGAAGGGCTCTTTGACCCCGAGATCAACCTGCGGCCCCTGAGCTCTGCATTCGAGATTGCGGAGCTGAAGATCTGCAGTGGAGGAGCTCAACCCTGCACCAGACATGGTAGGACATTCAGTGCTGGATATATCATCTTTGTCTTTCTTTTATCAAATGCATAGAACAGGACGGATATTAATATGTCCAACTAAATTCATATGTATTTCTATAGCACTTTGTGTCAGTTCTAGTAAATTGATCAGTCCAGTTTTCAAAGTTGAAGTTCAGTTCAAGTGTGGTTTAATTTTCCCTGCTGAAAGTCCAAACACTGAATAGCAAATCCATCGATGCACAGCTCCAGTGTTAATGAATATATGTCTGTTTTTTTTTTAATGTATGATAGTAGTTTTGTGTGCAGTACTTCATTGACTGATCTGAGGGAGCACCCAGTAGTAGTGTGGACGCCCCCTAGTGGCTATGGGAATGATTTGTTTACAATCATGTTTAATTTAGCACGATTTAGTTTCTGTATACAGCGTGCATTTATATCTCCAAAAGTCATTGCTGGGACAGTCTCTGTACAGTATTTCTGGTGTAAATGCAAGATTAAAATGAATGCCGTTGCAATAAATTATACAAGTAAAGTTTATACAGCCTTTAGCTAGCCACAATGCTGAACAAGTGAATGATGGGGTGAGGTAAATAAAACAAACTGCGAGACACCGATACAAAAATACAACAATTAATAAGTTTGAACATAAAGATAGGCTTTCAGTATTGTTTTTAAAGATGACCAGAAACTATTCTGAGGGGAACAACTGGAAAATTCCAATCATTCTTGCTTTTTAAACGAGACTGAGAGATAGTAAACAAAGCCCTTAAGAGGGAGTCAGAAGATCTGCAAGATATAACGAGGCTTGACCATTAAGAGCTTTAAAAACAAAGAATAATCTTTTGAATTGAATTTTAAAATGAACAGGAAGCCAATGAAGAGAGGCTAAAATGAAATTCAATAACAAACATACAAAATCCGATCTTACACACACACACAAAGACAATAACTATGATAATATCAAGAAAGTTTCAGACTGTTGTTCATGTCTTAATGTAAGTAAAACTGTGGGAATGCTTTTTTTCCAATTAAGAAAAAAATGAGGAGCATACAGATATTTTAGTTAATGGAGAAGTAATATAGGTGGCGAGGCAGTGGCGCAGTAGGTAGTGCTGTCGCCTCACAGCAAGAAGGTAGCTGGTTCGAACCTCGGCTCAGTTGGCGTTTCTGTGTGGAGTTTGCATGTTCTCCCTGCCTTCGCGTGGGTTTCCTCCGGGTGGTCTGGTTTCCCCCACAGTCCAAAGACATGCAGTACAGGTAAATTGGGTAGGCTAAATTGTCCGTAGTGTGAATGTGTGTGTGTGGATGTTTCCCAGAGATGGGTTGCGGCTGGAAGGACATCTGCTGCGTAAAAACTTGCTGGATAAGTTGGCGGTTCATTCCACTGTGGCGACCCCGGATAAATAAAGGGACTAAGCCGACAAGAAAATGAATGAATGAGAAGTAATGTAGTTGATCATTTTAAATATTTAGGTATAATAATTGACTCCAATTTAAATTTTAAAAAACAGAAGGTTTCCAAAAGTGCTAGAGCAAGCCTGAAGATTTGTAGAAACATCAGACATCAGTTACCTATGGCGGCTGCTAAACTTTTTATGAATACAATGATTTTCCCTCACTTATCACTTATCTTGTGCTACAAGCTGGTCCCACACGAACATTACAACATTAAAACTATTGTATATTATGTATAAACAAACAAAAAAATTTAGCTAAAAAGCCAAGGAGCTATCATCACTGTACCTGTATTGCACAACATAACTTACTAACATTCGACAGTTTCTTATTTTATGCTGATGTGTGTTTAATGTATAAAATGTTTAATGATCTTGCACCACACCCCTAAATAATGTGTGATTGTCTGCAAGGACAACATAATATTGTAAGAGATGATTGTTCAGTTAAACTTAAGAGAACTGCTTTTGGACAATCGTTTTTTTTTCAGTCAGAGCAGCAGAAAGATGGAATAAAATACCAGAGCGTATTAGAGAGAGTATCACTTTTAATAATTTTAAAACTGTTCTTAAAATTTGGCTTAAACAAAATCAAATATGCAGCCACTGATTTGATTTCATTGTATTGATAATAATGTATTGCATGTATTGTTTTGTAAGTGTATAATGCATAATTTTTTACTGTTAAATTTGTTACAACTTCCTGCCCAGGGACTACAGATGTAAATAAGCTTTATAGCTAACTCTGACACAACATGTCATGTTGTACATTGTCCCTGTATAAATAAGAAAATAAAAATAAATAAATAAATAATTTAAGATCAGGTTAAATAATATTGCATTATAAAAAATAAAACAGTACAAAAAGTGAAAAAGAATTAAACAGAGATACATAAATAACACAGATACTGCAAGAGAAAAAGGATCCTTGATCTTTCCAAAATAGTTTTAATAATCTAAGAATCTTTTACTTTTCTGGTTTTAACCAGACTAAGAGATTTAATAAAAAACATAAATTTCAAAAAAAAAAATGTGAAAGACGGCTGCGAATTGGAGAACTTTTGTTTGTGGATAAAATATTTTACATAGAAAATAAAAAAGTGAATGATGTAGTTCTCTGATATAGCAGTTTCACTTTTATAGTAACAAATAATATCTTGTAGTTGAAAGGGGCTGGAAGAAGCAATGTAATCATCTACATGAAGATATGAGCTATTCCAAAAGCTTTATGTGTTTTCACGCTAAAAAAAAATGTGAATCAGGAATTTCAAAAATGAATCCAACATAGGCTATATCAGTGTGCATCAACATTTTCGGTTTAGCTGGTTAGTGTGAGACATACTTCAGCGATATATTTATTGTTAATTAGATGTAGTTTATGACACAACATATTTAAGTTTTCAGTTTTTTGGATGGATATTTATCGTATCCTCTAATTAGCTCTTTCAGCTATTTCTGTTGGCCAAACTATACAAACTCCATCTAACTTGACTTTATTTCAGGCTATTTGTAGATACAAACATCTTTTTTTTTTTTTTTTTTACAAGAAAAGAGTCCTTTTGATGTTTCAGGCTGTTGATTGAATGAATTTTTGTCTTGCATAGACTGATTATAGGATATATTTATATAGTCTATTATTTTGATTAGTAACATCATTGACTTAAAAACAGATCATATTTCAAGTCAAGTCAAGTCAAGTCAACTTTATTGTCAATCAAACCATGCAACAGTACATTACACAGCAGACTGAAATTGCGTTTCTCCCATACTCCAATGTGCAATTTAAAAACAAAAATATGACACACACTAGACATAAACTAAACATTTAACTAATATAGTACAAGATAAATTGAATAAATAGACAATAATAAACTGTGAACAATTACCATATATCCTATTGTTCCAGAATATGACCAAGTTGAGGTATTTATTTATTAGTTGAGGTATATATTTCTCAGATCAGCCATATTTCTCAGCAGGCACATGCACATATAGGGCTCAACCTGTGCAGTGCAAATGTACTTTTTAATCTTGGATAATAAGTGCCCTTCCAAAATCATCTGAAGTGCCCCTGCGAACCTCCCACCCCCTTCTCAGCTCTTCAGTTCGCGACAAAACCTGCACATGACCCTTGGATAGTCTCTGAACGGGGCTGTTTCTCAGTATTAAATGGGTGACATCTTGGATGGAGTGTTAATTAGGGAGGTCAATCCCCTCCAACCCCCCTGTAATTCACATCCTGGGCTATATTGGAGTATACAGATTATATAAGTAACTATAGAGAATTCCAGTGTAAATAGGCTACATGTTTATTTATGAATCCTGAACTAATATATGCAAAGAGTAAATAAATCTGTGAATAAATCATTTGACCACAGGCAACTTGGACTTGGTAATATACATAAAAATCTGCCAGCGACACTTTCTGTCTAATAAGGGTGACAAGGGAAAATTTAAATTTAATCAAATTTAACTTTATTTTCTCTCTCAACGTGTTATTTATCATGGTGTTCACAGTCTAATTACGTTAATAACTCACTCTTGCTCCTAATGGACTTTGTTCAGGTAACAATGTAATCTAAGCAGCACTCATATCACTGGCAGAACTAATAATAGTAATCTCAGTGGGTGGGGGCCACTGATTGGACCCATGTAAACTCTTTTCACAAGACGTTGATAACACATTTAATTGGCATTGGCATCTTAATTCCTTTAAAGTTTTCAATATCTTGATTTTCTTTAATTTGTCTGTACATTTATAAAGCTATACTTATGTATCATCTTTGCATCAAATAAAAAAAAAAACTAACTATCGCTTATGTGAGATGTTTCTAATGCAGCGTCTATGGTAGGGACAGTAAATGTGCTATTGTTCTCTCCTCAGTCTCGCATTTTTTATTTTTTGAAAGTCATGAAAATAGTTTTTCTTTTATCAATGAGCCATTTCAATTCATTAGAACTGCACAGTGTGATTGAACAGAGAACTTACTAAAATGTATTAAATGCATATTGTTATTAAACACAACTAAAATGTGTATATATATATATATATATATATACATATACATATATTTAGCCACTAAAGTCACATATAAATGAAACAAACAATTTATAAAACAAAAGCAAGTAAAAAAAATCCTTCAAGTAAACGTAAAGCTGGAACACAGTGCTCTAATATGCGGTAACTATTAGAAACTGACAGTGCGACTGACAGCATCGTAAACATTTTGCTGTAAAAACTGGTCTCACATAGGTAAATTGATGGCATGCGCGAAACATTTTACATGCAAGATGACTTTTAGCAGCACAGCTGGCCGTCATGTTTGACGCGTTGTCTGTTACAACGACAGGTCCTTCCATTTTATATCCTATTCCTCCAATGCAGTTTGCAGTAACTCTGCATTGTTAGTTGAGGTAGACGGAAGCTTGTTAATGATGTTATCCAGTGTAGTTTGCCTTGAATCGAGAGATTTCGGTTGAGGTCGCAGTGCCGCTAATTCATCTGCGTGGTGTCTTGTTAAGTGATAACACAAGTTCGTAGTGTTTTCTGAATATTTTAC